TCTTGAGAAATCGGGGGTCTATGCTGTACCTTTGGAAAATCAGGCAACGGGAGTAAACACAAGATATATCGGGGCCACCACTAGAATGCTTTCCAGCTGCCTTGATGAGCACCAAGACGATGTTAGGAGGGTAAGAAACACCACCGAGCTCGCAAGGAAGGTACTTGAGCAGGGTTACAACCCGCTATGGTCCCAAGCGGTTATGCTCAAGAGCTGCAAGGATCAAAAAACTGTTTTTATATGGGAATCTCTCCTCACTACCACCTTGGACACTTGCAACACCCCTACGCTCGAGCTGCCTAGTATATGGGTCACGCTGTATAAGCGTTTAAGCAAGTATTAGCAGTCTCTAGTATGCATGTAGCGTGAGCATGGCTCTGCACATGCGCCAGCTCGCACTTCACGGAGCTATCTGCTCGTTCGGTTTTTGAATTATGTTTAAATATTTACTTCGTGTTCTTAACGGCTTTAACATAATGTCAAATTATCTTATATGTTCTTTTCTGCATTCAATTATTTTTGTTTAAAATTTTTTGGTAAATTTCTGTATTCGCCTGAGGACGACGACTATAAGTTCGTTTAAAGTGCTTGCGATAAAAAAACGCATGTAACGCTGAACTCAGTGTCTTTGTTTTTGTTATTATAGAAGAAGCTGTTGCATTCTTGAATTCTCAGGTTTATCCATTTTCCTCTGATTCCACTTTCCGATTGGTTGGTTTCTCCTCATTACCTGGTGACAATTCAAAACCTTTCGGGACAAGGGAGAGGCCAGAATCGAAGTTTAATTTGATTCCTATCTGGAGATAGTTGATCTTCGTTTTTCCATTGTTCTATTGTTTAAAAGTTCTTAAAAGTTCACATCGTTTTCATTAAGAAAAACTATTTCTAACTTCTATTTTTTTTTCTCAAAAAAAAAAAAAAAAGATAATTTTGTTTTTAAAAATAAATGATTTTAGTGTGAATTTCATTGAGGTTTGGACCTGTCCAGAGCCTCACAAAGATAAATGAATTTTTTTTAATGAAGTTACATTGGAAGTCATCTGTGGAGAATCAGACCGACTGTTTTGTTGACAATGATTAAGTTCATTTGTTATAACTTTTTAATGAGCAAAGGTAATGTGAAAGTTTTGATGACAGCTAAAAAGTACCATTTAATTAGTATAAAAGAATTTTCTGCATTCAAACAAATACAAATTGTGCAGTCTGAAATGTAACTTAAAATAACCTTTATTTCTTGCAAATTTAGTTTCAAGTGACCTTGAAAACAAAATCACTTTTATTGAAAGTTGCAAATTATTCAGCTTTAATTGTCTGTGTTTGAATCCTGCTTATTAAAAAGTTATAAGTGATCTTGAAAATCATTTTTAAGTTTGACAAAATGGACCTGTCTGATTCTTCACAAACGACTTTTTATGTAACTGCATTAACAAAATGAGCGATTACAGTGGATTCTCGATATATTGTTCCCATAATGATTGTTTTCCTGTATCTATTGGGTGTTTCCTCCGGTCCCAAACAAGGACCCATATATATAATGTTAATTTTTCCTTTATTTTTCATTTGCACATTATTCGGGGTTTTTTTATTTTTTTGCAGTGTTCATTCTGTATGTTAACTGAAAGCAAAATATTTTCCTGCATCAATCGTTTTACTCGCAATAGAGGACACTAAATCGAAACACTGATTTTCCTGTACTAAAAATAAAAGCATGTCAAATTTAACAGTTAAACCTTTGACTGCAGCTAACCAGTTTTTATTGTAATTTTTTACTACTTTTTGTTTGCTACTTTCCAAAATATTATACTTTATTAGCGATATTTGTTCCTAAAGCCCAGCTATGCTGGTAGAAATTAACACGTTGTCTCGAGATAGAGATCGTGTCTGGATAAAATGACAATAGTTGGAACCCTTGTTAAAAATTGAAAATTATAGAGGAAATAAAGGAAATTTGTCAGAAAAAAGGATTAATAGAGAAAATAGAACAAATTTTGGTATTTTTAACTATTTTTTAAAATGTAGAATAAACGAATGTCTGTGCGCATACTCTGTATCGTTTAGTATTACAGAATGCCATCATATAAGCCTATTGCTGGAAAATACACATTCTATACAAGATAAACAATAAAAACACCAACATCATAAATCTCCTGTGTCAACGATCATTTTTCTGCATTAGTTGTTTTTTCCCCAAGTTCTGTGAAAAATGATAGATCGAAAATCCACTGTATTTATTGTGACATTGTCACAATGTTGGGCAGTGAGCTTTTGCCATGGTACTCTCAGTTTTAGTATTGTCTTGCCCGTGTGTATGCAACTGAACCCAAATGATGCATATAAATTTTAATGCAGTGTATTCTAATTATATAATCAATTTGAACATTTAAAAAAACATTCTATTGTTGTTAGCCATTTTTGTTCTATATCTATTATAATCTACTATATCTGATAATGTCTATTTCATATAGACAAAAACATTAGTAAATTTATCTTTTCGTAGTGCTGGTGTTGGTTTTGTGCATGGTGAACTTTAATTGTATTGATATTTGAATATTAGTCAAGATTGATAAGTGAGTCGAGAGCAACTTTTTGCTCCTTAAAGGAGCAAAAAAACCAGAAAGAAAACTTGACAAACATTTGGGCAGATATGGTAATTTGATTTGGATTCAACTATAGAACATAATTAAATTAATTTTTCTGTTATAATAGGTTGGATAAATTTTAATAGATTTTTACAGTAAAGGGCCAAGTAAAAAAGTTACTGACTGACTGTACGTATGGGAATCAAGTTGCCCAATTTTTAGGAGTTGATTACTCTGCTCCCCAAAAGCCTGTAGTAATTCTGGATATCTAGTTCAAAAGATAATTGTTTTCTTAGGCAGATTTCAAAATTTCAGATCTTTCTATAAAAGGGTTGCCAAAATATAAGCAATCAAAAAGGGCAAAGTTTGACAGAAAAAAGCTGTATTCTTTTATTTTCATCTGGCACTGCAGATGCCTCTAGAGAGAAACTACTGGGTCTGGAAAGCTCACTTAAACTGATATTCACAATAGTTTTACCTGCATTATTATTTTCTACATTTCAATTTGAAGTGCCAAACTTATCCTTACCAAAGGAAACCCTAAGGAAAAATATGACTCTAAATTGTCACAATTTTTTACTTGGTGCAATTATTTTACATCTAAGATGTTTTTATTTGGATATCAATATTCCATATGGCTTATTTATTGTGAATTCACAACAATAAATCATTGTATAATTGATTCCATTTATATTTTTCTAACAATTTCGTATTTTAATTTTTGTGTAAAATAAATTGTCTTAAAAATTAATCAAGCAATAAAAAGTGGAACATTTTAAAGAAGATACAATTTTAAATGTAAGAATTACAAATAAGAAATATTTGATTTATTTATAGATCCGAAAGTCCTGTCCGTGCGAAAAAGAAAAAGTCCTCGAAGAAGCATAGAAGGGAGCGGTGAGTGACTCAACTATCTATTACCAAACATCCCTTCATTTAATATATAAATGAAGTTTATAATTAGATGAAAATTATTTGTATTTATTGTTTATATAATACGTGCATATATTATGCTCTATTTTAATTAAGAATGTATGCTATAAAAGTATATTTTTTAAAAATGTATAATTGTAGGAAAATTTGAATTATATTTAATATAATTTAAAATTGTATATCTGTTGTAAAATGTAGTTATTTTTTAAAGGGAAATAATGTTTTAAACTTTTAAAGATAAATAAATCTTTCTGTTCCAATATATGTGCAGTTTAATATTATATTATAATACAGAAAGATTGTCATGTTCTTTAACATAATTGTTAGAATTTGAAATTACACTTCTAATAATAAATATTAATATTTTAAGGAGTAATAATAAAAATTTTTCACATATTAATACAGTCAACATTATAAGACAAAAACTTTATCTTGGAAGTTTCGCTTTGAGGTTTTTAAGAACTAAATTATCAGAATGATAACATTTGTTTGTATGATTTAATTATTAAGGAGTGACGTGCAAAAATCTTATATAATTACAGGATAATGTTAACTAGGTGTACTGTTAGGAACTATTACATGTAATTGTCAATTTTTTTTTGAAATGATAAAATTTAATATTTAAAAGGATAAAAGTTTTTTGTATTCGACACATTTTCAAAACAATCTTATTGCAGAAAACTAATGCAAAATTACTCGGATGTATCAGCCGTTTGCTTTTGAGCCTGCTAAGCTTGTTATCAGGGGCCACTTAATGACTTTCATATTCAAACAATTTAAAGACCTACATTGCTAATTTAGCAGTTGAAAAATTCAAATGAATTCTTTGTTATTTAATTTTTAAATTTTACTTTGTCCACTTTTAACATTTTAACTTTTTATAATGATTTTTAATTCCATTTAAAAGATTTTTGTAGTAACCAAAACTAAATGTATTAACTTAATCTTATGCAATTTCATATGCATCTATGGATAGAATATAATCTTCAGAATGAATAAAGTAATTATAAATTTTTGATAAATACACCTTTGGTTAATTTATAAATATACATTGAAATACTTTTGTATTGTTTCTCTGAAATTTTTTGATATGATCAATTACAAATAGTAGAAAAAAACTTAATATATAAATAATAAGAGCTAAATATTGAGAATTGTAAAATGTGTGTTGGTGTATGATCAGTTTAGAGGGAAAGTAGCATAATTTCATGTAGATAACTTGCTCTGGGATAGATTTTATAGATAACTGCTAGAACAAAGTTGTAGAAACTGCAAAATAATTTTTTTCACGCTAGAATTAAATAGCTAAAGGTTGATGTTTTCTTTCTATTTACATTGACATAATTAAATGGCAAAATAATACATGGAAAGTTTTACAGAAACATAAATGGCTACACATCCTGAAAGTATCCTAAAAATATACACCGCAGACAATCACAGAAAATAATACTTACAAAATGTACTATGATCAAGTTGTAATCATGGATAAATTACAACACACTACTTAGCACATTCAATGACATACAATAGAATAAAATTACATACATAATACATATAGCTGTTCCAAATACTCACAGCATATTAATTTTTTAATATAAGTGTTTTGTAAGTATTCAAAACGTATCCACAAAATAAACCATCATGAGGAATTGCCAGTAGTCTTCTTTGCACAAGTATCGTATCATACATTATTCAAGTCTTAAAATATTAGAGCTTCACAACAGCACATACATTATACTACGGAGGGCTGTCATACTAAATGTGTTGCATAGTCAGGAAATTCTTAAACATAGAAACATACATGAACAGTAAACAAACAAAAGTATTTTTTTCTGTTGTTATGCCTTGACTTAGGTTTGACACAGCACAGCATTAGACACCAGTATCCAGTATGCCATGTAGGAAACACTCCATCAACAAAATAATAATGAAAAATGGATTTTTCAGATTCTAAAACAGCTGTTTACTTAGGTGTTATAATCCAGCAATCATTTGGCTTTAATATATATCAGATTATATTACTACTACTATTATTAATTAAATGTGAAATAATTTGGCACTAGATGCAGGTATTAGGCCATCTATTCTTAATTTTAATAATTGGACTGCAATTTGAAAAAATTGTAGACCTATAAATCCCCACTGTCATCCATTTGTCCATCTGTTTTTTTTATCTTTTGTTTACCTAACTCTGTTCTAAAGACAAGACCAGATATGGAAACCTTAAGGGCAGTAGGCTCCGATTAATTATATGCTAACTTTCGATGCAAACCGAAAGTCATGTTATTTTAATTCAAAAATTTCCTCTGAAAGAAGTTAGATAGATGACTGGCACGATATGGTTGCTAAAGGAAAAGTATGATGTACAGGGGCAAGACACTGCTAATTTGAAGGTTAAAAGCATATATTTTAAATTAAATAAATTAAAAATTGCGATTAAATTTGCAGCATGGCATTGTGATGATGTCACAATAAAATAATTTCTTATATAAATTTTTATAAATAAATTAATTACCTAGGTGTGTCAAAGATGTTTAAATTAAGCAACATGGATGAAAGTCAAATGAGGGGTGCAGATAACTCAAAATAATTTCATGATGACGATATTTACAATTTTATACATTATCAATATGTTAATAATTGAGAAAAAATATATATTCAAAAATTTTAAATTATATTGACTGATGTTGACTGGCTAGACTTATATTTTCACATTGGATCTAAATACACATTTTTAAGGTAATGGATAGATTGAGGATCTAAGCAAAACTTGCACAGTCTGTTAAGGAAGAAGTGCCTCCCAGGAAGACTTTCTACACCAACTATTTAGATGTTATTTTTTCAATAGAATGAAGACTTTGCTTTTGTCCACTTTTCAAAAGGTTAAAATTTTATGAATATAGAATTTTAACCTTAGATGTACATGTGTGATTAAAATTTGGTAAACTCCCGTTCATTGATGAGATGTAAATCTCGGACAAATTATCAGTATTCAATGGTTTTATCCACTTGGTCACTGATTCATTGAAAGTAATGAATATTTCAAATTTTTCAAAAAGCTTTTCAGTTAGCAAGGAAATGATAAATTGTAGTTTTTAAAGAATATAGAACAAGAAAAGTTAAAAGGCATTTTGACAAACCTTCCAAAGATTAAAACATTATTTAGGGTCTATGAATATTTAGTATGCATTATTAGATATAATTAAAAATGAAATTCACAATGATTTCAAAGGATTAAACTAAATAGTTAATAACATTTTCTTCAATATTTCTGAAAACATTACTCTCGTCACCTGAAAATGAATTCGTTGAACAAGAAAAAGACTTTCTACAAAATTAGTTTATTTTACAGTTATGTACAGGGTGATCAAAATTAATGAGTAAGTCTTTGGAGGGAGCTCTTTGTAGACAGAACTAATGAGCTATCTTAACTAAATTTGGTATATATACTATCTTCAGTGTATGTCATTTTGATTTTGGGAAAGAAGTTACTTCAAACTTTTATCATTAGGGTAAAATTTGGAACTCCTTAAAATGCAAAATCATTTCCTGATATTTTCAATAGTAAGAGGACTGCTTCATAAATATTTGAAGTGATGAAATTCTTTAAGTAAAGAGCTAGCATTGCTGTTTTGTTGATAGAAGAGCTTGACAAGTAATGCACAATCTGGAGAAGTGAGCACCAGTTTCAAAAAATTCTTCACAATTTGTTGACAGGTAAACAGTCGTGGTGACTGTTTACCTGTCAACAAATTGTGAAGAATTTTTTGAAACTTTGTTTATATTTGAAATTTGTTGGAAAATGCATGTAATAAGCATATTAATTATGGAAACAGCTCACCAAATTTCATTCTAATAGCTGAACTCTGAAGTAAAATTTTTCTGAAGAGCACATACCCAAAACTGCATGCTCTAAACATTTACTCTCTGTGATCACCCTGTCCATTACATAATTTACTTAAAACTGAAATTGCTATCATAGATATGTATGCTTATCTCTTAGATTTAATTGCTACAAATAGTTAGTTGATAACATTATTGCATTGCAAACTTCAAAACTTCATTTATTGAAGTTTGCAATGCATTAATGATCTTTTTGATTATTTCCGTGACTAGCAGGTGCTGAATGATGATTTTTTAAACTTATGATAAAAAGTTATTTAAGAAATTCTACAAGCAAAGCTAAACTGATTTAAGTATGTCATCTATTGAAAGTAAAATCGTTAAATCTCCATTGTAAAACATAGTTTAAATATACAAGTATCTGTCATACAACACAGCCCTTCTACAGCACGATTTTGCTCTAACATCATTAAAAAATCTGATATTCTTTTTATTCAAATAAACACACATGTTGTCTCAAATTGTCCCACAGATTTTAGAATATCAAAATTTTCAATTTGTTCCAAACCTACTGTCAGATTTACTTTAATGAAAACTGATAGAATTTTTTTCTTTTTTGTCCTAGCTTTCCTATCAACCAGGTGTCATTGTTGTTGCTTTCAGACTTTAATCCTTAAAACTATCACTGTGTTTTGTTTTTATAGATTAGTCATCATATTTAGTAAAGTTTATTTAAACATTTTTAACTGTAGGTAAGTAATTTTTTGTAAAAATGATGAGTGAAATACAGCAGTATTGCAAACTATTCTCAACTCAAACAATTTGGTATTCCAACACAAATTCTGGAGAAAAAATTGCTCTGTAATCTACTGAACAAACATGACCCTCTAGAACAAATTTTTGAGTAATAACATATTTTAGGTATTATTTTGTCATCCATAAAAATTATGATGAAAATAAAAGAAAATGAAGATGTTGCCAATATTTTGATGAAGATTGACAAAAAGCTCAGACAATTCTTTGTAAAAATTAATATTTGACTAAAATTAATATTAATGTGTAATATGTTACTTTTAATTGTGATTGCTAGTTAATTATCGATTAGAAGTAAATTATAGATTGCTTTAATAAACATAAGTCTCTTAGTACAAAACAGAATTGTATACTTTTGTTAATCTTTGTAACCAAACCGTATGTTTTGCACTAGTCCTTTGTTTCGTATAGCACAAATTTGTT